CTCTCTCAAATTGACCCCTCGAGTGCATAGAATTCGAGCTTCCTTCTGCCCTTTACTATCCCTTGAGAAGGGAGAATACATAGGTTTGTTTTCGCTTCTTGTCTCCTTTTTTTTTGTTTTTCTTTGCATTTTGGCTTTTGTAGCTCAAGTTCCTTTTATGTCCTTTGTGGTGTCTATCTGTTGCTCAAGCACAAAATTTATGCATCTACCCTTCGTGCTCATTTGAAAATGTGTTATTTCTAATAAGTTTGTCGTTAGGCTGATGGTTATTCTTGTTCATCCTCATCACAACTAGATAGACTTTACCTAGACCAAGGATGGGTCATTTTTATAATCTTTAATGAGAACCCTTATTTCGTACTGTCTTTGAACTTGAAATGTTAAGAGTTTTTTCAGATTGATACTACAGTGAAATACTTAGTCCAGTTAACATCGGATTTTCTCTGTGGTAATGTAACCTTTGGACTCTGAAGTATAGCAAATTTCTTCTGTTATATCTTATATGTTTATGTTGCTTTGCCATGGCATTTTAGTGCTGCCTTTTATTAGTTATCTGATCTGCTGACACCTCCATTTTTCGATGAAGTTGCTGGAAGTGAGGACTCAAATGTATACTTCTATGACTTGACTCGACCAAGGCATACTTGCGTAAACAAGCTGCAGGTAAATTAAATTCTTTTCCTATTTACCGTAAATATATCCAATTCCATTATACTCAGGGAACCATTTGCCAATACAGGGTCATAGCTCATCAGTAATAGGTATCACATGGAATCATGGAGAGAATTTGCTAGCTTCATCTGATGCTAGTGGTACAGTTATAGTATGGAAGAGAGCTAAAACAAGTTAGTACTCTTTTTGGTCGCAAGCTTAGCATTCTGAGGAACATTCACTGTAATGTGAATGTTCATAGAGGATCGCCGCAAATGCTGAAATGGGCAATCCTGAATTCCTGATTGCTTGATCTGAGTCTTAAGAGATCAGAGTTGTCACATTGTCTTGTAATATTATTGAGCTAGAAATCGAGGCTTTCATATATACCAGTTTTGCGTCATACCATCATTTAGTTTTTTCCATTCACACAAAGGCAATATAGCTTATGCACAATGTATCTATTTTTCTTGTTATGGACCTCACACAATGATTTCATGAGACAAGTTAGTAAATATGACCCAAGAGTTGTGTTATTGGTATGATACGGATCTGAGTTTTGGTTGTAAATTTGTAATGGATTTAATTGTTTTGCAAAAATGAATATTTTCCCAGTTCTGGGGTTGTTTTCTTTCCAAAATGGTTTAGCAAGTTTCTCCTGGAAATGGATCATTTTGTCCATGGAGACTTTATTTTTTTTACTGGTAAGATACGGGGGTGCCCCTCCTACCACCGGGGGGGGGGGGGGGGGAGGGGGATGACCATCGAACCTAGGTCACTCATGGGAAAGATGAGGGAGTCCCTCCACTCCATGTTCCTCGTCTATGGAGATCATTTTGTCTAATCATTTTAATTTCGATATGGCTCTTGAGAAATCCTTATGAATATGAGATACAATTATAGCTGAGATTTAAATACATGTATCGTTCTAATCGATCGCATTCGATTGGACTTTAAACCTCTTTACCATACTTATTTTGTGTACTTTTTTTGGTGCGGAGTAAAGGAAATGAAGGTAATCGTTTTGAGTAATAAGGAAGAGTGAAGAGAAAATTTTTTTTGCCATTAAAAGGTATTATAGTGTAAAATAATAAAAAGAAAATTCTAACATGATTTTAATAAAAAAATAAAAAAATAAAATAAAAACAAAGTATGAATACTGTAAGAAAATCTTCAAGCTACATACCTGAAGAATATAGGATCCTTCTAGCTAGATACATAGCCGAAGAGTGGCACCACTTTATGAATGGGAAAGTTCATGTACTACAATGAACATAATAAGACCATTTCTTGATTAAGTGGATGTGGTTAGGTACATTTTCCATCTTTGTGTGGAAGATTGTAGGATCCTTATGGACATTTATAAATAGGGAAACCTTTTAAGTGTTTGGCTATTCAATTCACAATAAACATTGGGAGAGCCTCTTAAGAGATAGAAAGTCACTATTAAAGTGAGAAAATTATAAGCAAGTGTTCAACAATTGATTCTGAGACATCTATTTTATTTGGTGAAGTAGTTTTAATCCTAAATTCGGAACTAGTTATGACCCGATGGGTCCATACCAGAAACCAATCCTCAAAGAAGGAAGATGATGAAGGAGTTTTGAATGAAGTTTTGAGAAATTAATATTAAAAATGAGATTTTTATAGAATTATATTAATTTTTTAAAAAAATGAGAGTCAATTAATTGAATTGAGGAAAAAAAAATATATTATGCGAATTTAAATGAAAAATTGAGAAATTAATATTAAAAATTTGATAAAAATAACATTTTTATGTCTTATACACTATCCCACATCTTTTCTGAATTAAATAATTTTTATTCGAAATTAATATTTTTTTACTTAATTTTTATTGAAATTATGTTTCGTTGTTATGGAAATTTTTGAGGAGTATATTTTATAATATAAGAATGGATGATGTGGATTGATTATAATAGAATAATTAGGAGTCGAATAATTAGCTTATGGGATCTCGAAATAAGAGATTTCATGGTTTTAAAAAAAAATTCATGAAATAAAAGGTATAGATAATATCTTTGGTGTCACTTCTCATTGAATGCAAAAGTTGCTGATAAAAGAGATTATATAATAAGAGATTATTTTGAAAGGAAATAAATCTATGCTCATTTGCTGATAAAAGAGATACTCGTATAATATAAAATCTGCTTAATTTAGATTGTTTAATATCTTCACAAAAATAATAGGTAAATTATGTAATTTATTTATTGCTATTAAATGAATAATTTTCACTTACAATCGACATTAAAAAAAAAAAACCTATATTTCCTATTCTTTTGCTATTGTTAGTTAAAACCAGTATTTTGTCGCTATTACTCTATTGTAGCCCTAATTGACAGTTGTATGTCGTTACTCCACCACAACTAATTAATTAACACAAACTTTACAAAAAATCTGGTTTACATTATTTATTGAATGGCGGTTGCTGGCAACTTCTTCTCCTTCCTCTTTTAAGGTTCATGGCATCTAAAGGAACTGATACTTGACGATATCGACATCTTTCTCCACTTCAACACTACTTTTGCTCTAAATCTTAAAGATTAATCCAACTCTTCAATTATCTTTTCCTCCAATTTCAATGTGCGATGATATTAAAAACTTCATAATTCCTCCCACTTTCTCTCTCCAATTTCAATGCTGCAGTTGGTAACGGAGAGGGAGAAGGGGGTTGAGGGTTTGATGGAGGAGAGAGAATTTGAAGGTTTGTTAATGGTGGAAATGTTTAGTTTTGAAAAGAGATAAAGATACGGGATGAAAGTAGAGTCATTGAGTTAACTTTTGCATTTTGTGTTTATTTTTTTTATTTTCATACTCTGTTTTTGTGAAAAAAAAAGGGTCACTTTGGTGAAAAAAAGGGTCACTTTTGTGAAAATATGAGTCACTTTTGTAATAAAAAGGGTCACTTTTGTAAAAAAAGGGTCACTTTTGTAAAAAAAAAAGGTCACTTTTATAAAGAAAAAGGGTCACTTTTCGCAAAATGTTCGATGTACAATAAAATTATTGTAAACCGGGGGCATGCAAAAGGAATTGATTAATTAATATCTCACCTATAAAGAAAAGCAATACATAGTTTATCGATGCTAATACTACATATAAGTTATGATATTTACAACATTTTTAGCTTTGCAAAAATAATTTTTTTTTTATTTTTTTATTTTTTTTTACGTCATATAAGTTTTCATCATACCACTTTTACGTAATATCCATACTTTTCACTATTGATGTAAAAAGCATAAGTATCCTACTAAGTCATTTTATTTGTTAATGCAATTTGTATGTCGCTACTCCTTTTACCTCCGGTGTGGTAATACTATGGGCGTGTTCGGCAAAATATAGCTGTGGAGGTAGCTGTTAGCTGTCAACAAGCTGTTAGCTGTCAACAAGCTGTTAGCTGTGAAGATAAATAATTTAGATATGAGTGTTCGGTAAAGTAGTGTTTGACTAGTTGTTACATATAAAAATCAATTTTTTATTTTTAAAACTATAGATTAAATTTTCAACAGCTACTTGAAAAGGTACCTCTAATTTCAAAAGCTAATGTTTCTAACTTTTCACAAAAGCTACCTCCACCACTAAAAGCTACCCTAACCACTACTTTGCCAAACACTCACAATTTTTTGTTGAGTAGTCAAACCACTAAAAGCTACTCAAAAGCTAACGCCGAACACGCCCTATATGCGTATATAAAGAAAAGCAATATATTTATCCCTTCATTTAAATTTGATATTATTATATTGCAATTTTATAGCTAGATAGTTAAACTTTGTAAATATTTATGTAAAAAGAAATGTTTGTCAAAATTTTTAAATTTTCGTTAATATATAATTAAATTGATTGATGGTCAAAAGGTGCATCTTAAAATTCATGTAAAGTGAAAATGAGACTATCAAATTGAAAAAGGAGTATTTATCAATGATAATATACGCTATGAAATATCTCCTTTTTAGTTTTACAAAAATAATACTTCGAGCTTCGTATATGCTATATAAAACTCCGTATCCTATTCATCACCATCGACGTAAAAACCATACTCTTCACCATTAACGTAAATAAACATAAACCTCCTACTCCTTCGTCGTCCGTTGTTAGACCAAGGTTGTTCCTCCACCACCGGTACCGTGTTCTTTCACTCTCCAAAAAAAATGAAAATCCTAACCTTATGAAACTCATGACATCTCAGGCCTAGAAGTTTCAACTGCTATTCTTCCCGCCTAAACTTGTTCCTATCCAATCTATCCTATCCAATCCAATCCAATAATCTCAGCTATTTAATCCCACTTTTATAACCCTAAATCGTAGGGTCAGCTGTCTTTAATCTCTCTGATCTGATGGAGCCTGCTCAGAAGAGAATTTGTAATGGCGGCCGCAACCCAGAAAAAAAACCACCACAATCACCACCACCACCACCACCACTAGATAGACTCAGTGACCTCCCTGATTGTCTTCTAGTACACATCCTGAATGAACTCCCCATCGAAAACGCTGTCGCCACCTCGATCCTTTCCAGTCGTTGGCTCAACCTCTGGACTCTCATGACTAAAATAACTTATCCACCTTATCATCCCAACTTCCACCCCTTTCATTACTACTACACCACCCTTAATCACCTTTTTTCCCAACTCGTTTCCCCGAAAATCGACACATTTCACATTGATTTCGATTTCCACCAGTCTTACAACCTGCTGGATGAAGGCGACATAGCAACTGACAGGGAGTACCACAGTTTCCTGCTCCCTTTGCTCGAACATGTCTGTAGCCGAAACCCTGAGATGATCAAGGTAGACTTCCGTACCTATTCTTGGAAATCTACCAATGTATTCAATATGGCTACTTGTGTTTTTAACTGTGAATCGCTTGTTAGCCTGAGATTATATCTTGATTTTGAGTTTGATAATTTATCTGCTGATAAGTTACCGCTCATTAATCTGCCTAATTTGAAAAAGCTATGTATGAATCTGCGCGATCTAAATCGTGTTTTGATGGGTGTGCTGTTTAAGTGTCTTCCTCTATTGGAAGAATTAAAGTTGGTTCTAGAGTTGATCGAGCCTGATCACTTAATTAATATATCCGCCCCTAATTTGAGGCGGTTATCTATAAAGTTAGATGAAAATGAAGAGGATGTTTTAACTGAGAATTGCAAGTTTGTAATTGATGCCCCTAATTTGCAAACCTTAGCAATAGAAGGTATATTGGCATTTTATAAATTTGTTAGTATTCCATCTGGATTAAGTGATGTGATGATTTCGATTGAAGAGAGTTGTTTTAATGATAGCCAACTCCGTACTTATACTAGACAAGTAATGGGGTTGCTTCGAGGGATTTACTGTGCTAAAACCATTGTCTTGGACGAATGTGGTTGTCATCTTGTGTATTGCATTTATATGTTGGAAAAAATTAATCTGAATGGATTTCGCCCTCCAATATTCCATAATTTGTGCGATCTTAGCTTTATTATAAAATTCGAGGGGAATAGATTTCCGAGTTGTCTCTTAGCCAACCTTAGGAGGCTAGTGATAGAGGGTGTCGAGTGCTACGACCTTGAGATCAAGTTGGTCGAGTACATCTTGGCTCATGCTCCGGTGATGGAGGAGATACAATTATCGGTTAATCCAGATGACAGTGTTAGTGGATCTGTAATAGATGTGGATTTACTTGCGGAAGAGTATGAATACTGTCAGAAAATGTTCAAGCTTCCAAAGAGATCGCCGGATTGTCTGATTGATTTCTACGGTCTGGTGATTCAGACTTCAAGTGAAGACGTAAAAGAGGATGGTGAACTTAACTACACATTCGTGGAATGAATGGTCGGTCCAATTATTTGTATGATTGTATGACTGATGAATTTAAGTATACATTTTGTTTACTGTTATAGGCTGAAAGAACAGGAAAATTCTATAATGTATACTCTTTATCTGTAGGTCTTATTATGTTATGTTATTGTTGTTGGCTTTTTAGCCCTTTAATAAAATTTGTATCGTTTATTTTGTTGCCAATTGAATGAGTTATAATATTGGGAGATTTTTGTTGAATTATACAGTTGATATTTGTTACAAGATTGCAATTTTGATAGGAATTTACACAATTTTATGTATATGCTGGTTATTGATCATGTTAGAGGTTTGAATCAAGTGTCACTTTTTCTAGATCTATGTGGAATAGAAAATTTGCATTTTGGCTAATTTATGACAAGTATAATTAATAGTGTATTGTCGCGAATTCCTCATAAATTAATATTGGGAGATTTGGTGAATCGATTGTACTGTATAATTTATACTATATTATCGAGACAGGTATAATATTAATTAATTAAACTCTACTCCGTATAATTTTAAACTCTATAATTAATATTATTGATCATGTAAAAGGTTCGAGTCAAATGTGTCACATTTTTTGAACAAGAATAAATTAAAGTTTCAAAACCTTTAGTACTAATAAACAATATAATTAATATTGTTCATGTAAAAGGTTCGAGTCAAATGTTTCACTTTTTTTTTGAACAAGAATAAATTAAAGTTTTAAAACTTTAATATCTAATAAACAAATGTATACATGATGTATACATGATATATAACTTTTACATCTTTGGTTGATCCAACTAACATAGGTGTATTCTTTCTAAAAAAAATAAAAATAAAAAATACTCCGTAAAAAAACTGACATAGGTGTACTACTGATTGATAATATTGGGTAATTATACATAACTAATAAATTATTAGGTAATAGATCAATCTTCCTCAATTCCGACTGAAAAAAAAAGTATAATTCCAACATTAGATAAATTTTCCCCAGATCAGTTTGTAAGAGCACGGATTATAATGTGATAATTACGTGTTAAAATAAATAATGTGATAATTTTTTCGGTACACTTTATAACCTTTAGCATCAGCCGACGTTTTATCTCTTAATCACCAAACATGGCTAACAGTGCACCCCTTCCCATAAACAATTGAACCAAATTAAGCACTCCATTAATGAGGGATGGTTAGAGCTTTCCTCGCAATTCTAGGAGATTACGGAATCGATTCACATCCCCACCTGGCTCTCTAAAACTCCCAAAAAAAAAACAATTAAAAAATAAAAAAAACAACCAATTCCGACTGAAAATCAAATTCCTGACCATCATTCCTCAAATTCTCCCTCCAGTGTCCATTCACTATTACTTTCCTTCCTCTCAAATCCTCTTTCATTCAATTCAATTATCTTTAAATACACCACACCATAATTAATCATCTTTCTCCAATAAATCAAAATTTAATTCAATTCCTTTTAATTTAATCTTCAATTTAGGCTTTTCCTTTATTCCATCAAATTCATGGAAGAAGACAGAATAAGAGACCTCCCAGATAGTCTCCTCATCACCATACTCTCTTTCCTCCCTATCAATACCGCTGCCTCTACCTCCGTCTTATCCCGCCGTTGGCAATACCTTTGGACTCACGTTAACCACTTCTCCCTCGAAACCGCCTTTGATAATCTCCATACTTTCATTACATCAGTTGATCACATTCTCTCCAAGCTCACCTCCCCAAAAATCTACACTTTTAACCTTCAATTTTTTCTCCGTCAATCAACCGAATCATCAGCGCAATTATCCTCTTGCTTTGTTCCTTGGCTTCATCAAATTTGTCGTCGTGATCCTAAAATAATTAATGTAGGATTTCATCATTCTCATGGATTTTATTCATCACTTTTGTTTCACATACCTACTTGTGTGTTTGAAACTCGGTCGCTAATAGAATTAGACTTGTATTTGCCTGGCTATATCGAGTTTAAGGCGCCTACTACTTTTATCAACCTGCCTAATTTGAAGAAGCTTTCCTTACTTGTATGTGATTCATACTGTTATTTGATTGATACCCTTATAAAGTCTTTGCCGTTTTTGGAAGATTTGAAGTTGTCTATGAATTTAACCGTAGATGTTCATTGTTTTGCTATATCCGCGTCTAATTTGAAGAATTTGTTTATAGGAATGAATGATTGGGGATCCAAAGTTTGTCGATTTGTTATAGATGCTCCAAAGCTGGAGCACTGTGAAATACATGGGTATTTAGCGTTTTATGAATTTTTTACGACTCCAATTGATTTACAAATGGTGCTAATCTCAGTTGAGGAGCCAAGTGATGATGAAAAGGATGATGATTTTGATATGGATTACGAGTATTATAGTTTAATTCTCGGGTTACTTCAAGGGATTTCTTGTGTTAGGTCCCTTGTTTTGATTAGTTATGGTGTTGATATAATGAGTTATCTTAATGGTTTGGATGGAATCGACGTGCCAATCTTTAGTAATTTAATTGATCTAAGCTTATACAATGACACTCGGCCTTATGAAGGTCCAATTACCAGGTTGTTGCTTAGGCAGCAATAAGAGGCTACAATCATATATGATCTGATGAACCACGACGATAATGAGATCAAATTGCTATGTAGTACAAGACATTTTTAGGAAATGCTACTGTTTTGGAGCAGATTCATACACTGTAATTGAGCTCTAGGGTGGAATGGTCATTGCTTCAAGTTCTGATTTGAGAAATATTTTGCTTCAATATGTACTTTGATATGAAATTGTAACTTATATGACACTTTTGTGTAATCTAAGTTCTCAAACACTGATTAATTTATTGTCTTATTTGTGTATATTATATGATCTGGGAAAAAATGATCTGGTTTAGTCCGTTGTGATAGTTTTTCCTAATTTTACATGTAGCTAGCTTTTATCAAGTTTTTTTTGCATCATTAAAACATTTTTGTAAATAGTTTTTACTCCCTCCGTGTTTTTTAAGTGTTACAGTTTGACTGACACATAGTTATAGTGTTAAAAAATTATAAAAGAAAGATAGTGGGGTTAATAGTTTATTGAAATTAAAAAGTAATGAATGTGAGAGGAAAGATATAACAAAAAAGTTGTAGTGGGTTTGAGTGAGGACCATGAGAAGAGAGAGATATAATATTTTAATGTAGTTTTTTGCCAAAAAAGGAAGTGTAACACTTAAAAAAAATACGGCAGAAAATGGAAAGTGTAACACTTATAAAAACGCGAAGGGAGTATAATTTTCTTGAAATTGCCATGTATAATAAGCTTAATAGGTGAGTTTGATTCCTTTAGGACTTGTGAAAAACTTGTGTGAACCCGAAGTTGTACATGTACGCAATTGGTTTTGTATTGAACATAGTTTTCTCTTATTACCTTATAAAAACACAATCACTTTTATTTTAACATAATGACCATTATTTTAACATAGTGACTTTTTTTTTAAATTAATAAACCGACTATAGTATTCCTATTATAAGTGGTCCAGAATAAATTAATGTGAATTAGGTCTATTTAAGAGTTTGTACCATTTAGGTGCAGATTGTCGTTTTCACAATTCATGCAATTATTTATGATTGCCCGCGTAAATGCTTTGTGTAAATACTATCGTTTCACATTAACAGATTGAGTTAAGCGCACACCTTACTTGCTTGCTCTGGATTCATACAGTGCGTATATTATTTGGTCTTTTATTTCCGTAACTCTGTATGACCGTATATTAAGACTTAGAAGCCTAAGAACGCCTCGCCTTAGAGTTATATAGTATATACTCTTCCGTTGCACCCTTGGTTTATTATACCTTTCCTATATTAAATTTATTGGCACGCCAAGAGTGAGGGATAGCTCAAGTGGTTAGAGCCCTCCTCCCGATTTTAGGAGATGACACGTCAAAAAGTTTATCTTTTATGAGTTATATAGTTTAATCGAATAAAACTCTAAAACCATATGTATCTTTTCTTTGAAAAAAATCAAATTTTTATCCTTATATTCTCCTCTATATATATTTGTCTACTAGACTTGAATAAAAAAATCGGATTGAAGCCTTATTGGAGGATATATTTTGGGAAATTATTAGGATATATTTAATTTCCATAATTTATGCTTAGTATATATTTTATGCCTAGCATATTATCTTTTTGGGATCTTTTGATTATTTCCTAATTCTATCGGGTTAGGGAAACAATGTATTATTTATTGGCTATGGCCATCATCATTGTAATTCAAGCAATGGAGATTATTCAATTTAACATATTCTCTCTAATTTAGCATGGTATCAAGAGCAGGTTGAAATTTTTGTTTTTTTCCAAAAATGGTCGGAGACACGTCTCCATTATTGTCACTTCTTTCCCTCGAAATTACAACCAATAAACCGTTTTCCCTTGGGTTGCAAGGTCAACCTAGGAATTTTTTAACTTTTACCCAACCCAAAGCTACCAATTTCAATGATAAATCTGATAAAAGTTGCAACAAAAGCTGCCATGTGGTGGCCAATTGTGGTTTTCATGAAATCCCTCCACTACAAACTCATTATAATACCATATACATGGTTGAGCACCATCCAGACCCAAGTAATTGGGTTCGTGCTAATGCCGTTTCAAGTGCTACAGTTGAGACAATAACGGGATTGTTCGGCAATATTCATGTGCCCGACAATTATTTGAAAGGAAAATTTGATGTTACCTCTTGGATCATTGACACAGGGGCAACTCATCATGTAACCGGAGACAAATCTTGGTTGTTCGATACGCAGGGTTTTGAGTGTCCTGTTGGTCTTCCCAATGGTGACACCGTATTGGCTTCTTTAATTGGTTTTGTTCGTTTGTCGGACAAGCTCACCCTAACCGGGGTTCTTTATGTTCCTAATTTGAGTTGTAATTTGCTTTCTGTGTTCCAAATTAAAGATGAGCTTAATTGTACTGTCCAATTTAACTCTTATATGTGTGTTGTACATGATTAAACAAAGGAGTTGATTGGAACGGGAACTAGGATAGACGGACTATATTATTTTAGCAATTTAGATTCGGTGAATCATGTTGATGTGGGTGAAGCAAGGTCGACCTTGGAGTTGTGGCCCCGTCGAATGGGTCATCCCTCTGAAAAAGTGGTTAAGTTACTTCCTCATGTCAATGGAAATAAACATAATCTTGATAAAGGGTGTGAGGTATGTATGCGTGTTAAACATCCTAGAGATAAATTTCTTGTAAGTGATGGTAGAGCTTCTAGGATTTTTGAGAAAATATATTGTGATTTGTGGGGTCCGTATCGACATGTCTCGTCGTGCGGAGCTAATTATTTCTTAACTATTGTTGATGATTATTCCCGAGCTGTTTGGATTTATTTGTTGGTTGATAAAACTGAGGTTTTTAGAATGTTTTTAGCGTTTGTTGCAATGGTTGATAGACAGTTTTCTCAAACCATTAAAGTTGTGCAAAGTGATAATGGCACGGAATTTAATTGCTTGCGTGATTATTTTAGTGCTACCGATATTATTTTTCAAACCTCTTGTGTGGGGACTCCACAGCAAAATGGGAGGGTCGAGAGAAAACATAAACACATTCTTGAAGTTGGGAGAGCTATGAGGTTTCAAGCCAAATTGCCTATTTATTTTTTGGGGGAGTGTGTCCTTACCGCTGCTCATCTAATTAATCGTACACCCACTCCCTTGTTACAAAATAAAACACCTTTTGAAATTTTGTTCAATAAATCACCCTCGTTTGATGCAATGCGTACATTTGGATGTCTTTGTTTTGCTCATAATTAGAAAACAAATGGGGACAAATTTGCAAGTCGAAGTAGGAAATGTGTTTTTGTGGGATATCCCTTTGGGAAGAAAGGATGGAGATTGTATGATCTTGAGTCGAAAGTCTTTTTTGTGTCTCGTGATGTGAAGTTTGTTGAGGAAGTGTTTCCTTTTGGTAACTCGGATGATGTAAACATCGATGCAAATCACTGTGATACGGGTGAAGATATACATGTTGATTTTGATGAATTTGAATTGGGGTATGTTGAGAATGAAATCCTTGAAAGTGAGGCCATGAATGCTACGTTGGAAATAGAGGAACCAGCCCACTCCGCAACCATCCCGCGGCATATTGCTACAGACCGCAGGGGGCTGCGAAGTCCTCTGCTCCACCAACAGCCACGGACCAGCAGCAGCAGGCAGAGGCGACCCCTGCCCAACCATCATAGCAGGCAGATTCTGCCCCTGCCCAACCATCACAGCAAGTAGAATCTGCCTCTGCCCAGCTAACACAGCATCAGGCAGATTCTGTCCCTATACGACACAGTACAGCAGCGGCCGAGCAGCACAACAGTCGCTCGGTGGCAGCAGATTCAGTTCAGGATTCCTCCGTCAAGCATCAAATGGTCGAGCCCTTGGGTAAAGGTCATCGTGAAAAGATTCCCTCGGTAAAACTCCGTGATTATGTGACACATTCTGTTTTTGCTAAAAGTCTGTCTCCGTCCTCTCTGTCATCCAACACTCCTTCATGTACGCCTTATCCTTTAGCACACTATATAAATTGTGACATGTTTTCTGTAAACTATCGAAAATTTCTTGCTGTTGTTGTTTTGGGAAAGGATCCAAAATTTTTTAGAGAAGCCATGAAATCTGAAGGTTGACGACGTTCTATGAAAGAAGAAATAAGGGCTTTGGAAGATAATGGGACTTGGACATTGGAGCATCTTCCTCCTGGTAAGAAAGCTCTAGGTTGTGAATGGGTGTACAAGACGAAATTCTTGTCTAATGGTGATGTTGAACGTCTTAAGTCTCGATTGGTTGTTTTTGGTAATCATCAACGAGAAGGCATTGATTATGGTGAGACCTTTGCCCCGGTTGCAAAAATGACTATTGTCCGTGCTTTTCTTGCTATAGCAGTTTCAAAAAATTGGGAGATTCAGCAGATGGATGTTCATAATGCTTTCTTACATGGTGATCTAGAAGAGGAGGTGTACATGAAATTACCTCCAGGTTTTGAAAGCTCAGATTCGAGTTTGGTGTGTCGTTTGAGAAAGTCTTTGATGGGTTGAAACAAGCTCCGAGATGTTGGTTTGCAAAACTCACTACGGCTCTAAAAGGGTATGGTTTTATTCAATCTTACTCTGATTATTCTCTTTTCACATACACTAAAGGCAATGTTCAGATTATGTCTTAGTTTATGTTGATGATCTTATTATTTATGGGAATGATTCCGCTGCATTAACTGTGTTCAAAGCTTATCTTGGTGATTGTTTCAAGATGAAGGACCTTGGTCCTTTGAAATATTTTTTGGGCATTGAAGTTGCTCGTAGTAAATCAGGTTTGTTTTTGTGTCAACGAAAATACACCTTGGATATTGTTTATGAAGCAGGGCTCTTGGGTGCGAAACCAAGTGGTTTTCCGATTGAGCAGAACCACAAGCTTAGTCTTGCTAGTGGTAAGTTACTTGAGGATCCTGAGTCTTATCGTAGACTAGTGGGGCGGTTGATTTATCTCTCTGTGACTAGACCAGATTTGGCATATTCTGTTCATATTCTTTCTCGGTTTATGCATGAACCTCGGATTGAGCATTGGGAAGCAGCTCTAAGGGTGGTTCGTTATTTAAAGGGTACTCTAGGATAGGGTATTTTGTTGAGTGCAGATAGTGACCTGACTTTGCAGGGTTGGTGTGATTCAGATTGGGCGGCGTGTCCTCTTACTCGTCGTTCGTTGACTGGTTGGCTAGTTTTTGTTGGTAAATCTCCTATTTCGTGGAAAACCAAGAAGCAACCCACAATATCTTTCTCTTCTTCTGAGGCTGAGTATAGGTGCATGGCTTCAACCACACATGAGTTGAAATGGTTGAAGGCATTGCTTTTGAGTTTGGGTGTCCAACATCCTAAGGCGATCAAGTTGTTTTGTGATAATCAATCTGCTTTACATATAGCTCGAAATCCAGTTTTTCATGAGCATACGAAACACATTGAAATCGATTGTCACATTGTTCGTGATGCTATTACAGAGGGCTTAATTGCCCCTTCCTATGTTTCCACTAAGGAGCAACTTGCAGATATTTTCACTAAGGCGCTTGGGAAGTCTCAGTTTGATCATCTTCTTTCCAAGTTGGGCATTTACAAACCCATGCTCCAACTTGAGGGGGGTATTGGAGGATATATTTTGGGAAATTATTAGGATATATTTAGTTTCCATAATTTATGCTTAGTATATATTTTATGCCTAGCATATTATCTTTTGGGATCTTTTGATTATTTCCTAATTTTATCGGGTTAGGGAAACAATGTATTATTTATTGGCTATGGCCATCATCATTGTAATTCAAGCAATGGAGATTATTCAATTTAACATATTCTCTCTAATTTAGCAAGCCTCCCTAAAATAAAGATGAACAGCGACACAATTAATGACAGATTAAGCTCGCTTCCTGATTCTGTTCTAATCACCATACTATCTCTTCTTCCAACCAATTCCGCCGCTGCCACCTCCGTCTTATCCCACAGTTGGCGCCGCCTCTGGACACACATCACCCACTTTTCCTTTGAACCATGGAAAGATTGGAGATACGACTATAATTTCCGGGATTCTATGAACACCGTCAATCACATCCTCTTCCAACTCACCTCCTCCAAACTCCACACTTTTCACCTTAATATTCCTAACCCTCACAGTTACACCCTTTTCCCCGATCTAGAAACCGACACGGTGTTAAGGGACGGACTTGCGTGCCTTGTTCCCTTGATTAATCTAGTCTGCCAACGAAACCCCGAGGTTATCACGGTATTTTTTCAAAACTCGTATCCAATTCAATTACATCATCTGCCACCTGTTCAAGTTGTTCAAACTAAATCACTTGTAACCCTAGAATTATATGCAAATATTGAGCTTAAGTTTCCTGATAATCTTGCTGTTAATCTTCCTAATTTAAAGAGGCTTCATATGTATTTGTATGACTCGCAACGTCATGTTATGGCTACGCTTTTTAGGTCTTGCCCACTACTGGAGGATTTATACTTGGGTTTACATTTAATTAATTATTGATATATTTGCCCCGAATTTGAAGAATTTGTATATAGATATGGATAAATCCTCGAGTTTGATTCTTAATAGCAAGTTTGTGATTGATGCCCCTAAACTCGAACAATTCACGGTTGTAGGTATTCTAGCGATTAATGACTTTGTTACAATTCCTAGTAATTTAGAACAAGTCACACTTGATTTGCAGAAAATGGATGATAATGAAGTTTTTCTGAATGAGAGACTAGTGCTATTTCGAGGGATTTCTTGTGTTCGGACTCTTACAATAATGGGTAACTGTGGTGTTACTCTCCTAGATTTTCTTAATAAGGTTGATCTGCCAATCTATATTAATCTGGTTCATTTAATTTTCGACTGTGTTGAACAATTTCACATAAATGGGAGACCTCAACTACCTTCTAGTTGGTTGGCTAAGCTCAAAGAAATAGAGGTCTCAATAAAGATGTTCAACTTTTTGGGTTCGAGATGAACTTTCTTGATGACACATTAAGATTCGCAACAGCTTTGGAGCAGCTTCGTGTTTTTCTTCATCACATAAGTAAGCTTGGCCATAACCCAAATCGTTTTGTAGAGGGCTTTTTCAGTCTCCAAAGAGTTCGCCGAGTTGCAAGATTGAGTTTAATGGTAATATGATTGCTGCTTCAAGTGATAATTACTGTCCTGGTGTGCTATCATGTCAAATACTCGAATAGTATATCTGTAAATTGAACCTCAGCTAATGTGGCTTGCCCCAACCTCTGATATTATTAGGTACTGCAGTTTTCTATTTTGTTTGTGTTTTTTTTAGAAGGATATTGTTATATGCGGGTTGCATGTAAGCATTTAATGTACTTACTTTTTTAGTGGGAATTTATCGACAATTTATGAGTAAATCGGTGTAAATACATGTTTATGAATTGCCAACTCTTTCCATATTTAGCTTCTTATATGCAGGCTACATATATCTTTTCTTATATGCTTTTGTGAGCGCAAAGGAATTAAAACAAATACAAAACATTTGCAAAAGTTATAAAATGTTGATATTTTTTTTAAATCAAAAATATGTTTAAATCAACCTAGTACATGGCAAATTGGCAATTGTCTTTTCTTATATGTCAACGATAATTCACAAGCAATCATAGTCAACGAATCTTAATTGCAAAAAAAAAAACAGATATTTTGTGTAGTCCATATTAACATTAGGAAAACATTATGATCGCTTTATTGATAGGAAAAAAAGTCAATGTTCATGCAAGTTTCTCCCTTAAATTAACTATTAATGTCGGGATTATATGTTTTAATATTTTTTTATTTTCTTTTTCAATCGGAATTGAGGAAGATTGATCTATAACCCAATAAATTAACAATCATACACAATTATCCAAATACACCTATGTTGGATCAACCAAAGAGTAAAAGTTATATACACGTACTACAAACATCTACATTTAATGTGACATTTAACAACCGTACAATTCACCAAATCTCCCAATATTAATTATGAGGAATTCGCGACAATATAGTATTATACCATCATCAATTAACCAAAATGTAAAAGTTCTATACCATATAGATCTATCAAAAGGGACACTTGAGGCCTCAAATATGATCAATAACCAGCATATATAGCATAGCTGTATATATAAAACCGAGTAAATACCTATCAAAATTGCAATCTTGTAAAACATTCCACTGCATATTCAACAAATCTCCCAATATTATACGGAGTAACTCATTCAATTTGCAACAACATAAATCATTCAATTTTATTTTTATTTTTATGTCAATGGTAAGTGAAAAATATGATATGGTTTTCACATCAATAGCAAAGAACATAATTCATGGTTTACGTTTAATTTTGTGAATCTAATAAAGAAGCAAATTTCATAACATGTATTTTCTTTATTGGCTATCTTACACTAGTCTATTTCTCTTTTTCAACTCGAATAATAGCATAGATTTATTTCCATTCAAAATACCGAATAATTAATAAAAGTTGCAATTTATTTTATCATTTGGTATTTGAAAAGACCAAAATGATATTATTACCATCAACCGCAATTTCCTTTTCAATAAATAGAGACAATAAAGAATTCTCATATATACCTTTAATTTCATGGAATCTCCTATTTGGAGATCTTATAATCTAAGCATCACAATCATAATAATTTCTCCTAGCTTATCCATTCTTATACCATGGAAGACGCTCCCTATCAACTTCCAACTCAATTTTGACAATACAGTTAGTAATAATAGGGAAGCCCCAATAGCATTCTTAATTTATCAAATACTAAAGTTTTCACTTTATTTAAAAAATATTTTGTAAAAATATTATAATTTCAGTAAAAATATTTTTAATTCAATAAAAATAAGTTAATTTGTTTGGATATGTATATGTTAATTTAAATTTTAACCTTATGTAATTTCAATAATATAATTTTAATAATCCTGAAAATTGAGTAATTTTCATATGAGTCCCTTTGTTATCTTGTTTAAACATTTGTGTCATTTTGGATTGAACCTTATATTATTTTGCTAAACTATAATGTTATTTTGCTTAAATATTGTGTTATTTATTATATTAGCCTTTTGTTATTTTGTTTAAACATTGTATTATTTTGATTTTAATCATATGATCTTTCTAAGTATGAGGTTATTTGCTTAAATTTGATGTTGTTTTTGTAAAATATAAATTATTTATTATATTAATAAAATATTCTATTGTTTTACCAAAAACTTGTGTTATTTTATTTAAAACTTATGTTACAAAATTTTAGCTAAATAAAAATAAAGAACAAAATCGAAAGAATTATGAAGGAATGAAAATAAAAGAAATAGAACCAAAATATTAGTAGAGATGAATATGATGAACATAACATATGATATTATGTAAGTAATGTAACAAAAAAAATTCAATCAAATAACATATAATTTAAAGAATAATAACATACAAAACATATGATATTATGTAATAGAGGGTGAGGGATAACTCAAGTGGTTAGAGCTCCCCTCTCGATTCCATGTGATTCTGGGATCTCTAAACACCACAAAAAAAAAAAAAAAAAGATATTATGTAACAAAAAGTTTTCAATATTATGTAATAATAACAAATCCAATCATAAAGTTTTAAATCACATGCGCGTACGGAATAACATTTATATTAATTAAAATAATAAGAAGCTTACATTGGAATAAACTTGAAATGTACACAACTTAAAGTACCTCGTGCATAGTAGTATCGTACTTTAGGAGTATAATTTTTTATTTTTTATTTTTTTATTTTATTTTATTTTTTTATTTTTTTGAGGAAGAGTATAAAAGAAATTGGCATGAAGGATATAGTTTTTTTTTTTTTAAAAAAAAATAGTATTAGGATTTGGGCCTAACAATTGAAGTCTAAGGGTAATTTTAAGACGCTGGGCCCAATAATTAAAAATAATTAAGCTGGCCGAAACTCAAAAGTCTGACCAAATAAGTTTTCAATTAACCCAAAATCATCATTAATTTATTTTACAGGTATGAAACACTCTCTCAAAAAACCCAAATACCCCGTGTCAAAAAAAAAAAAAAAAAAAAAAAAAAAACCCAAATACCCTTTTGTTTCAAACTTCGAAGGATATAATTTTATTTTTGGAAGGAAATTTTAAACGGATATATAAATACCGTGTTAAGGAAAGTTTTCCTAAATTAAAAACAAAAATACCCTGCAAATTACCGACTTAAGGTATAGGCGTGTGCTTATTCCTCAAGCAATAACCAATTCGTTTCTATATAATGTACTCTCAATTATTCCTGAATTGTTGTTAACAAAATTAAAGGCAAGATTAATATAAATTTTCTAGAGTAAATTAAAGCAAGGCAATCATCAATGGTGGCGAAGTCACAAGAAAACAACGTCATGATTACTTGCGAGCATCGTCAAGCAGCAACACAACGAGACATGAAGATCATCATACGATACGAAGAGTGGGAGCGGAGGATCAAATGCGGTGAAAAAGATGATGAAAAATCTCCGTATACTCGAAACGAGAAAGCTTTACAAGTATTAGGGTGTTATAATCCCGTAGATTGTGAAGCGTGCAAGAGTAAATTATCGGAGTTTCTAAAATCCGTGTTACACCCTAACCCTGATGAAGTGTTACAAGATTTGTACGAGAATGTTTCGAGTGTTCGACGTATGGTTGTTGCGGAGAAAAAAAAGTACGGGTTTTCTAAGGTGTATGAAATCGTAAACCATGTTGAGCGACATAGTTTGTCGCACAACAAGGAGTGGGTGATCACTTGGGTTGACTACAGGAAGCAACAACAAGAACCGCACCCTTTGCCAGTACGCGCAATGGAGCCGGTTAAGGTGAAGGATGTGTCTACGGAGGGTGAGGGTTTAACTTGTGCTATATGTCTCGAAGGGGTTAAGGGCAAGAAGAGGAAGAGATCCACGTCGATTCAAGATGATGTTCAAGAAACGGAGGCTAATGATGAAAATCGAGTAGTGAGGTTATTGTCATGTCAACATATGTTCCACAAGACTTGTATTGATCGATGGCTCAAGGACTGTGGTCATGATACTTGTCCTCTTTGCCGGATTCTGTTGCCGAAATCATCGAGATGTTGGTTTAATTGGGATCTTGCTAAGAAGAAGGCTTTGGATAATGCTAAGGTTGTTAAACTATGTTATAAGTAATAAGGTCTAGCTCTGAGATGTATGTAGTTAAACAAAGTCAATTGTTAGATTTGAGTTGTATCTTTTTTAGGATTGGAAGTTCCATTGAATTCGTTTGTTATAAATCCAAATATATAGGGATTTAATGAGACAAAAAAATGTTACTCTTGTTGCGCACTTGTTGCATTATGTAAGAAAAGTGCTATTATTAGATTATGAATATATGAATGTTCTTTATTTTATCATAGTTTCATGAACATTAATTTTGTATTAATAATAATTTATGAAAAAAAAAATTGAGGAAATTTTTACATTTAGAGAGAAGAAATTGTTAAAAGTCTAACTCTAAATATCCGAGAAATAATGTAAAAAATTAATGGTGAATATTTTGTATTCAATAATCTCAATCTTTGGTTGATGTTTTTAAGCAACATAGTTACATAGATAAACTCTGCAAAAATGTGTAGTATTTTGACATCATACACCAATTCAAAGGAAGGATATAGAAACATTGTGACTTATTTATTAGTATATATACATATATTTTTTCCAAACAGTTTATGAGTACTTTAAGCTTCAATAAGATAGATTATTAACTGTGTTTATAACACTTACAATAACATGATTCAATAATCAGTACTCAGGTGTCGCAGAGAATCGCGGTTACAGGCTGATACAATTTTTCTTGAATATGGCAGATTCTAGACTCTTTTACACTACAAGTTTAAACAGTGTCAAAATTAACTTGGGCGAGATTTTTACAAGGTTGAAAATATACGTATTTGTGTGAATTATACCAGGCACTGTTCTCATTGATCTCTCTCGAATTC